TAATTTAACAGGACTATATCGCGACTCACCCAAGCATTCGATTATCATGAGAACTATAAAACAACATTCTTTGCGGTCGTCATTTTGTCTTTTGTGCGACATTTTTGTTTTCTCTGAGCTTTTCATTCGTGCGCCCGTCTCGTTAGCTTGTTTGTGCATGTTTGGCCTGCAGACGGTTGCTTCAAAGCTTTATGGTTTCGCCTCACCAATTCGAGCCCCCACTCCCCTACCCCCACAAACATACACACACACACACACACACACACACACACACACACACACGCGGAGCTCACTGGATGGGGGCTTTTTGGCGATCCACTGCCTCACCGGAGTTTGGAAAACAGATACACTCAAAAAAGAAGTGGGGGCGGAGAGGCGTCACCATCAGGAGTGCTGATATGCTGTGATCTAAATATGTTTCATTTCTTCACTGCACAAAGCAAATGAAGAAAAAAAAAAAACTTTTTCGGGGGTAGTACTTACAAACTACTAAGATTTCCATCCCTGCCTGCAAGCTTGTGCACTGTGCCTGTGTGCGCGCGCGCGTGTCAGTTGAACGTCCTTGTCACCGGTTTCTATGATAATCTGCTTTGTCGTGAGAGATCTAGCATCTTGTTTTTATATATATGTATAAATATTATACTGTATATTAAAATGTACTATTATTGTTAGAAGAAGAAAAGTGTGCTTAATGGACTAATGTGGTCATGATGATGATAATAATAACAGGTGTCGTGTTATTAAAGCGCCGGGTCTCAAACACACACACACGCACACACACACACAAACACACACACACACACACACACACACACACACACACACAGAGCGCTCCGTATACAGCGTCAAGTCTCATCAGTGGTTCTCGTGAAGGAAGGCATGAAATCATAACTACGAACGACCAGGCACGTTGTTTGGGACCTAAATCGCTCATTTTCAGTTCACGAGTGTTGTTTTCACCCCTTTGTTTTATTTTCTCCTTCAAGTGTTCTGTAATGTGCTTTCTTTCATCTCCCCCGCCACCCTCCCCCCTTTCAATTCTCCTTGTCTTTTGTACAACCCACTTGTCAGGAAGCAGGGTGGTCACTCGCTCGTTTTCTAAGACAGCAAATGCAAATTCAATAACAAGTGGAAGGACCGTATTTCCTCAAAATAACGGCTCCCTCGAATAAGCGCTTCCCGTTTTGCATTATGAAAAAGTACAAAATAAAACAGACACTATTGCTCACACATGAAAGCGTTGAGCCGCTTGAGTGAATTTAAAAGATCGTAGACTTACTGAGTTTCCTGTGTGGAGATGGTGTCTTTATTGACCATTAGCTTTCTCTTACACTCTAATCTGTGACCACTCGTTCACTTGATAAAAATGCTTGCCTCCCTCAAATAAACATTTCCTTTTTCCAATCATGAAAAAAAAATTATCGTTCACACAGACTCAGATTCAACTGCGAGCCCATCTGAACTCTGTCGTTAACCAAAACTGCAGCACCTTCATAGATGTCGTCCTTCACATTCTTAAGACAATAAATGCCGACCTGAAATAAACACCTCCCCTTTCATATCAGAAAAAAACAATGGTAATTGCAATTTATAATAATAATAATACATTTATAAGCACCTTTCAAAACAATCAAGGACACTAATTTAGACACAATTGTTCCCACAGATTTTTTTAAGTGTTAACTGCGGTGCTCATATGGACTCTGTTGTTAACATAAACAGTGGCACCTATCAAGGCACTGACCAAAAAAAAAAAAAAAAACCTCAGATAAACGTCTCACTTTCCTGTCCAAACAATTTAAATCAGGCATTAACTCTGATTATCCCAGTTCATTGATGTATTGTTCACACATTAATAAAACACAAAAATAAACATGACTTCTCTCATTTAAAAAAAAGAAGTCTTTCCATACAGTGTTAAATTCCGATTTCACTTAGCGTGAATTGCTGAAGGATTTTGGTATTGTTCCAAAAATTAGTACAAATAAAAACCTGGCCCCTCATGAACGCCCGTTACTGATTTGAAGAAATACCGTCCCTTTCAACAGAACTGCTCAGCTGTCATCGTACACCTTACAGACCACCTTGCTCCCTCGTCTCCATCTTACGGGGTGGAAAAATCTCAGTAAATATCTGCTGTGTACAGTCTTGAGTGCTAACCCATTTTCAAAATAAAAACATTGTTTCTCAATCTCACTTGGTGCTGGCTCATTTGTGCCGTATCCCCTTAAATAATAAAGCGACTTTGTAATTGCGGGAGTTGGCCACCAGGCGGTAGCACAGACGCGTGCTAAAAGGCCGCGTGCTGCATGTCATTGATGGACAACTCAGTGTTCAGCGCGCGCACTGTGCAAACAGGTCTTACTGGTCGGGAAATTGCGTGATGTACTTGCTCTGGTGGTAAACACCTGTTGCATAATGTTTGTTAGTTAAAAAAGTAAATAGCTCCAGAGTTTGATACAACAATCCTCCCTTGGACAAGTTTGGATGTTTCTATAATTTTAGGGTCATGGAGCCGTGAAACTGGCACTTGACAACCTGCAGAGTCGCTCACGCTGTCGTTTTCTCCCCTCTTTAAACAGCGAAATTAAACATGTACTAAATTTAAAGACAACCAAATCACATTCGTAGTGGCCAATGCTTGTTGTGTCGGGGGTGACAAAGCCGGACACTCACACCGCGAAACGATTGAACAAGTTAACAGCAGTATGCGACTGACACACAGGAAGTCGTGTCATCAAACCTTCATAGTAAACTCCTGGGCACACAGCTGAACGGTATTTAAAGAGGTTTTGATAACTAGGCAAAAGAAAAAATATAAATGTCATTCCACGTCATATTAACACATGAAGTGGCAAATCAAAAGGTCAAATCCACTCACAACTACACTATTAACAAGAACACTAGATTCACAATTAAATCGATTTGCAATTTAATTTTAGAATAGGCATGACCATTTCACTCACATTTTTAGTAGCTATTTGATACTACACTCAAACCTACTGAAATATTCAATATATAACTTTGTCAAAGTTACTTATTTCTCTTACAATCCACAAAATGCTCCCCAAAAAAGTTGACAACATATTCTTAAAACAATTGAAATACTCCCTAAAATTTACAAAAACAGTGTTAAATGGGGCCCAGGTTTTAAAGTAAACACTACTACGACTACTTTACTTTTTTATTTCTTTTCAGAGTACTCTTCAAATCTGCTGAAATACTCCCTAAAATTTACCTCAATACTTTTAGGTCAACAAAATACTCCTTAAATGTTAGGTAAACACTCTTACAATCCATGGCAAACTCCCTAAAAGTTAGTGAAATCTTCAAATATATCCAATACCCCTAAATATTACCTAAATACTCAAATTTACTACATACTCACTCGTTTGTAGATTTAATGCAGTACAATTGCTTTGCATTGCACTTGAGAGGCCAGTGGTAATCGTACCACAAAATGACTGCTTAATATGTAATCAGTAGTAACTCGAGACACCAATGAGGATAAGCGCTATACAAACACAAAACATCCAATTTAGTTATATGTTAATCTGAAAAATAAATAGCACCGCAAAAAAACAAACAAAAAAAAAAACCACATTCGATCGCCACGCCACAAGCAAAGTGAATGCCTTTATTTTGACAGGTCAGAAGGGAAGCGCCCGTTGTGTCTTCCATGGGTTGACTCATTTACTTGGAAGCGGGAGCGAGTTTTTGGAGTGCCCACTGTGAAATGTGGCAGCATGATGCTGCCTGGATAATCGGCGAACAGCAGCACCAGCACAGGCGAACGCGACAAGAGGGGTAAGACGAACACTTTCCACCAACTACTTTACCAACTCGTGCGATTATAGCATTTAAAACGAAATGACAAGCGTTGGTTTGGGGAGAGGGTTTATAATCCTCCCAGTGGGTTCCAAGTTTGCCTGAACCAGATTTTTGACGGTAACAACTATAACTGTAGTTCTTTTCTTCTTTTTTTCCGTACACCGTGAGGCTCTTGATGTGAATTGCCCGTGTGCACCTGATGCGCTCTGAGGAGTGCGGGCATCCATAGCAAGGTGACACGATCAATACATTAAAAAAAAGCATATTTATCGTCGCGTCGTGCGTCACGCGCGCACGAACACACACACACACACACACACACACACACACACACACGCGCGCGGGCGCGCGCGCGCATTGCTCATGCAGGGCGACGCGCGTTTCTACGCGTTCATCCATCTTAATAGTTTGATAACTTATTGATCGAGCGGCTTAATTGTCTGGGGCGCCTCTAATTACGAACGTGCGCTGCCTTAATGGACTAATCGGCTTTGGTCTACCTGTTGAGGGGCGTCGGCGTGTGCGCGCGCCCAGCTTGATAAATGGTCAGCGCCACTTCGCTCAGCATGCAGACGTTATTACAGCGACGTGGTCGCTTGCAGACTAATCACCCCGCAACAAGCAAACTGTTGCTGCACGCGCGCCTCGAATCGACTTGTTGTCTGCTCTTCGCAGACTTCACAACAACCGCCCCAAAATGGGACAAAACAACTCAAATATTAAGACGGATAGGAGATTGCCTTTGCCACTCTATCCTGCGTGACAATCGTCAAACCGACAATCGTCAACTCCGAATTGGGGACCAGCCAAGGACCTCAATTGAATCTGACTACTTAGATTATCACTGAGGGAATTTCAAACATAAAGGTGCCAAATAAATTGCACAACCACAAACAGAAGAGCAATTTCTTGTCTTGACTGTTTGTATACCACCTGAAAACGCATCGGAGTCACCAGGTGGGCTAATGCTTAGCGCCTTCGTTTTTGTGTTGTCCGTCAATCTGGATTCCCTTGCCAGCCTCTCACAGGTTAGCCTTGCTATGATAGACATTTGAATAGAGACAGAGGGACCCACAACCCAAACCCACAAATCAGTGAAAATACACTTTTGTTTGTGTGGTATAATGCAGTGGTCGGCTTGAGAACACAAATTACGATAAGAGTAGTCACCCTAACACTTGGCGAAGTTTTGAAGGATATCTCGCATTTGAATCAGATTTTAAAAAGGGGTATCTTTCTCCTAATCCTGATCCTCTCTCTCAACTTGAATCTCTACTTTAAGTTCACAGCCCCCAAGCTGAAAGAGGGCCAACGCCTGAGGCGCGGCCGCAGCAAAAGTCTCAGTGGGTTCTGATGAAACATGGGCGTGCTCCAGCTCCACAACCCGGCTCACCCTGACACCCTGCTGCAGCGGGCCAACCAGATGCGCCTGGCGGGCACCCTTTGTGACGTCATCATCACGGTGGACGGCCACGAGTTCCCGGCGCATCGCACCGTCCTGGCGTGCACCAGCAAGATGTTTGAGATCCTATTCCACCGCAGCAGCCTGCGCTATGCTCTGGACTTCCTTTCGCCCAAGACTTTCCAACAGATCCTGGAGTACGCGTACACTGCATCGCTGCAGGCCACGGCCGAGGACCTGGATGACCTGCTGTACGCCGCGGAGATTCTGGAGATCGAGTTTCTGGAGGAGCAGTGCCTGAAGGTGCTGGAGACTATCCAGGCCGAGGAGAGTGAGGACACGCTGGTGCGTAACCACATCGTCGGAGACCACGGCGACCACGGTCGAGCCAGACACTGGCGGCACCTGATGTCCAAAAACCACTCCATCCCGGACGGAACGCCGCGCACGAATGCCGCTGCTTTACACCACCTGACGTTGTACCACATGACGGAGAGGAGCCCACCAGGGACAGACCCAAACGACCCTCCAGAACTGAGCCCTAAACTGGACATGAACATGGACATTTCCCAGCAGCTGCAGCAGGGCAGTGCTGAGGCCCCGACCCTGGAGCCCATCGAGGGTATCAAGTCGGAGAACATGCAGGTGGGCGAAGCAGACTGTTGCGAGGGCCGCTCGTCCGGAAGCTGTGCATCTGAACCAAGCCGGGACGAGGGCCCGGGGACCCCGCTGAGAAGCAGCGTGATCACTAGCACCCGAGAGCTGCACGCCGGCCCCGAGGAGGGCGTGTTGGGGAGCTCTCTGGACTGTTTCCCCGTGATAGCTGAGAAGCACCTGGCATCCATTTACTCTGTCGCCCCCAATCACGCGGGAGAGGCCATGACCCAGGTGTCCGTGTCGCTGGGCCCTTCTCTGGGCATGCCGCTGGATCCGCGGACCTACGGTGGCCTGTTGCACCAGGGCCTTTTGCACCGGGAGCTCCTGAGCAGGTTGGGCCAGTTTGCGGCGGGAATGAGGCACGAGGGGTCCGTTCAGGGGCCGCAGTGTTGTGGCGAGTGCGGGCTGCAGCTCCACAACCGGCAGGCCATGGAACAGCACAGGTAACGCAACACACGCTTCATCAGCACAAACTGATTTAGAACTCTGTCGAGGCGAGAGAGTCGTGTATTGTATTGTCTTTAAAAGACATCATGCACATATTGATAAATCATTCCTACCGTACATATTTTTGTATGATGTTTGTGTCAATGTTCTATCAACCCCCACATACAAAAATATAAATATACAGCACCCCATTTAAAAATAAAAACTTTTAATGTCAAATAAATCTTATGTTCTGTATAATACTACAGATTCGTTTTTAGTTTGTGTTCAAAAAATATGTGGGTAGAGGAGCTTGAAAAAAAAAATCGCATTTAAAATCGCATTTACAATATTGGGCGGGGGTGTAAAATGGCAATTGGATTTTCAATTTTCAAAATCGTTCAGCCCTCGTTTAGCCCCTGAGTGATGTTCCGAGAAATTCAAGAAAATGTCCAACAACGCCTCCTTCTTTGTGTGATCATTCGAGTGAATCAAAACACCCTCTTCGATGGAGGAAATAATGCCACTGTCTTTGGCTTCCTTGTAAAAAGAGCAGGTGTGTGCCTGCTCGTCATTTAAATGACGCCCAGAATTTCCGCAACATTGTACGTGTCTCTTAAATTTAAAAAAAAAATTCCCAGACGTGTTTGACGATCGGGGATGGTGGATACCTTCAAGCTGTTCTATTTTGATCGCTGCTGCGGGCTGTTGAGAAGTTTCTCAGCTCCCGTATTATCTCAGTGCACGCAAAGTTATGGTTTAGCGATACACGATGGGCATACATGACTGTCAAAGCAAGACAACCTGTGAGGTTCTCATCCCTGGCCACTGACATTTCAGCCTTGTACCACTCTGGCATCCTGCAGGATGTTTTGCGATGTGCCGACTTACTCGCTGAGACGGACGTGCGCGTGTCCGCGAGCCGCGGCGAGAGTGGAGTTGCGGTAGGTCCGTAACCAGGTCACTGAGCATGCACCTGGTTCGCCGATTGACATTTGGTAGTGCTTTGCTGACAGAATTTCTCCGGGAGCGCTTTCAAGCGGGAATAAAAACTCAGGAATTTGCAGATCTCTTTGAAGGTTGCTCCTTGTGGAATGAGGGGATGATGGATTTTGGACCATGCAACGGTTTACCAACGAGGCATGATAATATTCCAAATGGTTTGTCTTAGCGTGTTAAATTTGAACGATTGTTACTACTCTGGAGCAGTTTAAAAAAAAATTAATTTAAAAAACGCCATCTCGCTTCAGTTACAAAAACATATAGCTTAAGCTGATATTCAGACTTATATGTGTATCTTGCTCTGCACCACAAACACAAAGCCACTCCAAAATCGTGGTCAATCTCTAATCTAACACCTTAAAATTGCTAATTTAAAAAAAAAAAAAGGACAAATGTATTATGCTGTCATTCATTAACACCTTTTCAAAGGCCCGAAAGCCGAGCGTGAGGCAATCAATCACACAATGAGCAGTTGAATAGGCAAAAATGAATCTGTACGCTAACTTTTGACACTGTAAATTGGTTGTTGATGCGTAAAATTAACCGGTGGCGTGGGGACAAAACAGTAAGTGTAGCAACCAGTCGGCCGACTGCTAAACGGAGCGCTGCGGTCGCGGGAAACATGACTGGTGCTTCGCCGTCATTTCTGGTCTGCAGCCGATACTGATTTCGCCTAACATGGCGCTCCTCCGACGTCGATTCATTATCCTGTTTAATTCTCATTCCACCAACGCAATATGAAATCCGAGTACTGTGTTTTGAGTAGTGCTGGCACAGACATTGTATTCTTGGGGTTTAGTCCCCTTTTAATAATCTATCTAGCGATCTCTGTTCTTTTTCCATCTGTAATCATTTCAAATGATCGTTATCATTTTCTGTTGTGTTGAGTTTACCGTTGACCACAATACATTGTTTGTTTCATGGGAAGGGAACTTCGAATCAAGCTGATAAACTGTCCCTTCAAATAAACTTGTGATTTTTCACACAGAGCTTGATTCAAATGGATGTTTCCGGCATCATAAAAAGGAAAAAGGGGGGAAATTTTCAGAAAAACAAAGAAACAGCAACAACAACAGAGCATTTAACTGCCGGGGATTCCAAACTAACAGCTTTTTAATACCATAGCGGATCACTGTGTCACTTTTTGATCTTTTGGACCGCAGGGTACAGTTTTCGCAGTAAAATTAATCAGTCCTATACATGTGTTTTTGTTTGGTGTATTTTTGTCCAGAATTTTACAACAGCCTCTTTTACAGGCCAGGGTGATGTGAGGATGAGAGTACAGATGCCTGGCATGCTCAGATGTGTGTGATATGATATGATTGCTTTCGCTGGCGGCTGGGCTTCGGCGGGTCGTCTTTTCTCCCTTTTTCAGCGCGGCTACATGAGGAAATGTGTGCGTGTATATGTGCGTGCGTGGCCAGTGTCTTGCAGCGCCGGCGGATGGAGGCACACGTACGTCTGCACCGCACTCTGAAAATAGCCAGATATCCCTTTGTCTGTGTTCTCGCGCGTTTTGTGATTTACCAACTCCAAGGGGCCTCTTACACTAATGACGCTGCATTCAGACTCTTGCCGGAAAAAAAAAAAGGATAAAAATAAAAGATATGGCTCCTCTTAAGAGGAAGCACAGTGACATTTGGGAAGATGATGGAAAGACAAAAAAAAAAAAAAATCTCTTGAACAAAACACTAATGTGCCGCCGTTGTGAGTCTTTGCTTTTTTTTTGTCTCCCCATCACACAGGAGGCTGCATGACGACGAGAAGGGGCACGGCTGCGAATTCTGTGGCAAACACTTCCAGGACAGCATGCGGCTACGCATGCACATGCTGTGTCACACAGGTAGAGTATCAGAGGAAGTTTTACAAGTTACGAGCTGTCCCTCGATCAAGTTTTTGCTTGGGAGTCCGCTAGCTTAATGCTAACACATAATGCAAAACAACATACACGGGCTAACAAAATTAGCATTGGTGTAGCTGCAACGAACTAAAGTGAACCCCACGTATTTTCATTTCGGTATTCATGTTTTTCTTGAGAATCAATCCACAGATATTGACTGGAAAACACCAGTCTGAGTGTTATTGCTCAGGTCATCATTAGCATGTGGGATTTCGGTGCCAAAGAGTGATATTGATGTGAGGGGTGGAGACTAATTTAGACAAAATTTGTGCTTTGCCACCATCTTGGGCGATTTTGGTGCCATGGGACAATGTTGAAGTGAGCCGAGGAGTCTTATTTAAACTAAATGTGTGCTTTACCACCATCATCTGCCATCTTGGTGCCATGAAACTAAGTTGAAGTGAGTTGAGGAAGCTCCTCAACTCACTCATTTAGACTAAGTGTATGCTTTGGCGAAAGTGAGCTCTGGGGCCTCACCTTGTGGCATTTTTTTGTGCCATGGGACTGTTGAAGTCAGTTGAGGAGCTTCATTTAGACAAGATTAGAGCGCTGCTGTAATCTTGGTGCCAAGGAACTATATAGGTCTGTCATAATGATTAACTATATCGGCTGATCATTCGATGAGAAAAAAATGGACATGATTGTTTTCTTGGACTTGATAATTGGTCATTAGCATACCTCGTTGTTTACATACATCATCGTCATTCATTCATGCTGCCCCTTCCCTCTACTGTTTCTCAACTTGTTAGCCGCAGTGGGAGTTGGCACTTATAAGCGTACACACTGGGAGCAATCATTATCAGAATCAATTACTGCATTTTATCCAAGATCCAACGATTGTTGGGCTCACAGCTTTTGTTTACGGTGCTCTTTTTACACAAGTGCATTGCTTGTTTATGCACGATGCTATGAGATCTGAAAACATTCATTATGCCCGCCAGAAATTTAAAAAGACTGGCGACTGACCCAGCGTATAGCTCCAATGCAAGATCTCTGGGACATCAAGACACATCAATCTGTGTACATCATATAAAACGTATTCAATAACTTGAGTTTTAATTCAGTAAAGTAGATCAAACTTTGTTGGGCCAAGGTATCCATTTTACAAGACATCTTGTGGGTAATAGGCATACATATAGCTTGTGGCATTCAGGCGCAGTGAATTGAGATGAGGAGTTTATTTAAACAGAACTAGTGCTTTGCCACCATCTTGTGGCATCTTTTGGAAACTAAACCTTTTGGGGCGGCGTCAGTTCGTGGAAGATTTTTGATATTTGCAGCGTGGAATGGCGGTTCACTGTCATTCTATTCACTTCGATGTGAAAAATGTCTTTGGTTTACTAGCATTTCGGTCTGTGAACCGACTAGGAAATAAATTCAGTTTCACGAACTGCTGTTGGAATTGACTTCGTTGACAGCAGTTACTACTCTACTATTGAGCATGTGTTTGACACGATCTTGTGGCATTTTAGGGTGCTTCAGAAAAGAGCACAATAAAAAATGAAGAGGTGGGCGTTAAATCAATTAGCTAAAGACAAAATAGTGAATAGGTGGGAGTTTGCTCTATTTAGTAACGCAGACAAAGGTTGTTTAAGTTAACTACACAAAAAAACATTTTTGTCAACAGTAAAAATGAGTGTGCATTTAAAAATGATAACATTAAACATTTTATATTTATGAAACAAAAACTATCATTACAATGAAAATGTCCTCCGTTTTCATCTTCGTCAATCAATTTCAAACATGAGCCTTTGAGGTCGATGTTAAATGTAATTGTCGTCCAAACTTAAGTTGACTTTCTTTTTTATTATCTTGCACAACACAAATAGTCCTGAGGGGAAAAAAAATGAAAATAAAAAAAGATCCATTCTCAAAATGAATTAAAAGCAACTGAAATTGAAAAACATAAATCATCACGAAATCATAACTAAGAATGAAAAATCCCTCACTACTTCCCATAAAAAAATCCCGAACTACTCTAACCACTACTCCCACATTTTTGACGCTGGGCCTTTCAGCTGCACCTGTTCCCCATCCCCATCCTTCTACTGACTGGATCATGCCTCCTTTACCTCTCAACTGACCACCCCCTTTCCTCCCAAGCAGAGTCCCTTCCATGTTTTTGGGCCTCTCGCCAGCGCTGCCCGCCCTCCCCGCCCTTTTTTTTGCGGGGGGGGGGTGTGATGACATCATCAACTCGCTGCCGGCAGGCCTGGGTGTTCTGCCAGTGTTCCGAAGCGTGTGTGATGGCTCGCTCGCAGATGTGTGTCCAGGAACACACTGTACCCAAATGCAGACTTAATCAGACCTGACTGCTCTCCCAGCTACTTTATCCAAAATAGAGAGCTAGGAGCAGAAGGGAGGGATTGGGGATGAAGGGTGGAACTGCGTGTTTTATAATCAGGGAGTTAAAAATGCAACTCAAATACAAAGCTCAGCTGTGTACAGACGTTTCCGTGCATTGTGACATCCTGCTGACAGCTGAGTGAGAGAGAGAGATCTTTAAACTTTCCCCAACTCGTTCCTTTTATTGTCACATCCGCCAAGCACACACACACGCATATGACACGCTTTGTTTGCATCACCTTCAACCTGAGAGTTTCCCGACCCCCGTAACGCCAAACCAAACAAAAAGGATGCGGATCTCATTTCTGTGTCGCCGCGTATTTGGGTAGAGCAGCCTCAGATCCCGCCGGTTGCTAAGGAGCGAGCTCTCCGCCGCTCTAATGGGCTGATTTGGTATGCAGCTCGACGCCGGCTCTTATTTTGGTATGCCAGACAAAGTGTTTTGATGGAGGACGATTGCAGCCGCGTCTGGAGACGGTTTGATGGTTTATGGATGAGAGCACACTCCGTGCCTTTGACGGCACAAGACAATGCACTATGTTTTCTCCTCCCCAACCCGACCGCCTTTTGCCTTTATCACACGAATCGCACACGGCGCAATACAACGCGGCGCGCTGGACGGCATCACGCGACATTAGGATCTCAAAGCCGCTGTCGTGCCGCTGGTGCGGAATACTATTTGCTCCATGCGAACTATAAAAGAGAAACAGATTGGTGCCTTTTTTGGTGTTTTGTTTCGGCAATGGTGGCACCGTGTGCGTGTGTGTGTACAGAGTTGAAAGAGGACCACATCTAGGGTGCCGCGTTCCGAGTTCCAAAAGCTTGTGGGTGTTTTAATGAGTCATTTTAACTTCATTTAAAGCCAGCTGAGCAGAAAATAGATCAGTGAATGAGCCCAGGGCCAGTATGGATCTGCAACCGATTTACATCTCTCTGAGAGCCAACCCACATCCAAACAGCTGTGTGCTGAGAAAAGAACCTCCAAAGTGGAACACAATCAGTTCTGCGATGCTGGTTGACTTCAAAGTTGCTCTAATTCCAAATCGAGTGAGGATTCAAAAACATTTGCCACAAAAGAATTCTCCTGTAAATATGTTTAAAGTTGCCACTATTAATAGCTTAAAGCGGTGATTCTTAATTACGCGGGCTCTCTCTAATGGTTTGCAAATAGTCGAACATAAGAGAACAAGGCTTGCATACAACCAGTTTTATTATTATTATTATTACAAATCCAGTAGAGTACTATTTTTACTTTTCATTAGGGATGGGAAAATACAATATATCGAATAACCGCAAAAGCAGTTGATACCAGCCACGGATACTTAAAATACCCTCTTGTGGCTATTCTATGATATATTTACTGCATCCATCGCACTGTTAATTGCGCCCATCCAGCATATGCCCAATTCAGATGCATTTTCAATAAGTCTATATACAGTACCATCCAAAAGTTCGGAAACACCTTCAAATTCAAATGGTCTCAAACACATGAAGAAGTCCAGAAATTCAAGCTCTTAACTCCTGATAATACACAGCTTTGAGCAAAGAGCCATTCCAGGTCAGAAAGCATCCTCCACATCATAAAGTTGACTTAGAAAATACCAAGAAGTGTAGAACTGTTATCTGGGCAAAAGGTGCCTACTTTGAAGAATCTAAAGTATATCTTTTGGTTTCAAAGATATTTTTAACTTATTTAAATTATTCCTTATGTATTGACGTCAGTATTAATTAAAAACGTCCGGGGGGCATTAGAAATGGAATTTGAGGAAGTTTCCAAATTTTTGACTGTTAATACAGAGTAAGGTTTACAGTGTCCTCCATAATTAATGATATCGGTGAGTAGAGGACTTGAGTACACTGCGACGGGGAACACATTTGCTTTCAATCTTTAAGAACGATTTGTTTGTAAACATTTAGAAAGTACAATTTGCATTTACCTAATATTCACAGGATTTGCCAATGTCATTTGAGGATTTTCGCACCATATTCCCCTCCAAATATTTGGTTGAATTTGTCATTTTGGAGGCTGTGACTTGGAGGTTCCACTGCGTGCTGCAATGTCTGCGTCTGCGGATGCAATTGGTGTGCGGCAGAAAGGCCAAGGCGGCCTCGTCTCTTTCATTGTCACAGACAAGGGCGTCGCATTGGTGAATTGGCAAGTGTAGTTACAGTGCATGTGATGGGATTTGGGGTGTTGACTTTGAAGTGTTTTTTTTTTCCCCGTTTGTTTTGCTATCCGATAAAAGGGACGTGCCGCAGGCGGTAAGCGTCTGCTGTAGAGAGAGAACACCCAGTTCTTCTGTGGCCTCTCAGGCAGACAGTCTGCTCGTTGTTCAGAAGCTGATAACAGGGCCATGGTAAATAAAATTCTTGAGCTTGACTCGTTCTGTCGGGAAGAAGGGCCGATGTACCCTGCCTGCTGCTTTTGTTTGTCCGATTCGTGCTTTTCTCTGCTGTGCAAGCACCTAAAAAGCACTATGTGCAGAGGAAAAAAAATGAGATGAAGACGTGACTGAGCTAAATCTCACATGATATTTGTGTTGACCACAATGCCGTCTTTTTCAAAATGTATCCGCAGCTCCCGCCGAGGCGCTGGTGTGCGATCAGTGCGGAGCCACCTTCTCCTCAGAGGAAGCTCTGGATGCCCACCGGCTCACACACACAGGTTAGTCTCTCTCACACACACTCAAGACAGACACTCGAGTTACTCCCATGACTTTGCGACTGGATTTTGCTCGTCACGCTGGCCGGCTTCAAATGTTCCTGTCATGATGCTCCATAATTTAGCGAGAGGAAGGTGGGAGGCCATCTCACATGTCGGCCTCTAATATCTCTCTGTATCCAGATCCAGCGCGTGCCACTTGCACACAAACCACGGCTTTATAAAATAAGGCAGCACAAATCCCCACCACCACACATACACACGCCATTTCTTATAGCTTTCTATCGCAGGTCAACATCATTCACAACTTTTTCATCCTCAGGAAAAATACAAAGTGGGACTTGGGCTGTCATGACACCTTAATTCCTTACCAAAATTCTGACTTCAAGTACATAATTGCATAAAGCACCTCGAAATCCAATACTGAAACAATAACACAGGAAAAACCTAAAACATCATTTAAAGGGAAGTCACGTTAAAACAATTTTCAGACAATAGCAAGTGACAAACGTGGCCATGGATAAAACAGCTGGATTTTACTGCTTAATTCATCCTCCACAAACACAATATTAATCAGAATGCCGTGTTTGGACTAATGGGAGTGCATTTTATAGTAAGGAACATTTTAGACTTGACTTCCCCCTTAGAAGCAGTGGAATCACAGGTGACACAAAATGGAACTTACATTCTTAGTATTTTGGGCAGTAGACGCATTCAATGGATAACGTGCTGTAAATATGACTTGTACTTTCTGGTTATTTTGCTGTGCAAGAGTTTCAAACTCACTTTGTGTGGGGCGGGGGCCGCTGGAGATAAGAGTCCGGGTTGCAAGAAGTACTCCACTCAAAATGGGCAAATGTATTGACGTAAAAACAAAAAAAACCCACGAATCCAATCTTGTCAATCTTTATCAATAACAATTCACAATATGAAGGTTTCATTAGAAGTTGAACAAGAGTGGCAACTTGGTGCTCTCTGTCAACTGCCTGGTACTTTGCAGACTCGTCAGAATGTCAAGTTGAATAATGACTTCTGATTTCTTAAGCGTAGCAAATTTGTCTGTGGATTCAAGAAAAGTCAGAGTGCCCCTCTGCTAAAAATAAATAAATAAATAAATAAATAATTTTTTTTAAAAATCTATTGTTCTTCAAATTGACTGTTCTCACCGCCAACATTGCTCTTCATGGCTGATTTTGAAAGTCATGACTGGGATGCCACTTGGTGTCCCTTCAGAATTGCTTTTCACCAAAAGCTGTCATAGTCTGAGCTACGTTAGCCCATAAGTGATTTCACCATCACCACCAACAACAAATGCCCAGGGCAACAATATGGCAAAAGAGGTTGAGGCATTCAACTTGGATATCAAGTAGGGTGCTGCAAAAAAGAAAAAAATCCATCAGGAAATGGCCCCCTTGCCACAAGTTTGAGACCTCTGTCGGAGTGTCAGCTTAATGCTATTTACCCACTCAATTAGCACAATCGTCTCATACTGTATTTAATGTCACACCTTGTTATCTATTAGTTGCCCACCCAAAAATGGCAGTGTTTTGATTGGAAAAGGTTCCAAAATTTCCAACCAGTACTGTTGAATTCTCAGCAGGCTTTCGACGCAGATACCAGGCGCAGCACTATGATTCTTGTGTATGGTGGGGCCGCACATACTGCGGTCAATTCATTGTTTGACAGGGATTGGTCACTTCCATATTAAAAATCACATCTGTCGTGGTGCTATGAGGTAACCCGAGAGAGATGATGTAATTGTACCTGCACACCCCGAAGTAAAAAGACAGATGCACTGTAGCGTGGTGACCTAAACTGAACTTTCCGCTTGCTTCAATCAGGAAGACAAAGATGCTACTCTGGATTCAGTACAGCCTAAAGCTAAGGTTAATTCTCATTTTATGAGTAATTCCTTCAGGGAATCAAGTGTTTCCCCAAAAAGGCTTCTAAATATAGCATCTACCATAATTACAAGTCACGCGAAAGCAACATCATCGAAAGTCAAAGTGTCCTGGAGGTAAATCAACTCTAACAAGGAGGGACAATTGAATTTCTTTCTGTAGTCTTATTCCTTTCTTGTGTGCCATTTTGTCTGTCTTTCCAACCTACCAGGACAAGCAGCAAGCAAATCCGGGTGACATAACGCACTATTAGCATGCTAGCTAACCTGATACCAGTCAAAACATCACGTGAAGTATGTAGAGGCAGCTGAATGTTGTTTGTTTCTGTTCAGGCAACTGTGTGTCATACCGTAATCCTATCCTAAAAATAGAACTTCCTTTTTGGTGGGACACTGGCTTGTAATGAGATCAAAAAATAGACCCCTGGATCATCTACTTTGATGGTTTGGGATGCATCTTATGTTAGCACTAGCATCAACACTATTCAGAACTGGGATGAAGTGCTTGAAATTAAGGATGACCGTACCATTTGATTCAGTGACTATTTGGTCTTAATTGTTGCTTTGTCCAGCCGGCAGAGGAGTTGATTTGGTCTCAACTAGATTATAACTCTGAAGAAGCTCAATGTGATTAAATGAATTGGGAATTTCTCCATTGCGAGACTAATAAAGGTTTTCTTATCTTATCTTATCTTATGCCTGTGGCATTTTTTTTTTTTGTCTCTGTGTAACAACACTTTTTGACTATGATGATGTTCCGAATGATTCCGTTATTTTTTGAACATACACAGCAAACATTTTTATGATGACGTTATCCTGTGGTGGAAATTGGTAAATTCAGGGTGTAGATACTTAAAGCCTTAATTTTGATTTTCTAAAGGCCTTAAATGTCTTGAAAAGATGTATATTAATCAAGCTGCCAGATAAAAAAAAAATAAAAATTGTGCCCACTGGGTTGAACCAGCAACAAGAAAGCAAAAAAAAATAAATAACGTGGCTCATGTTACGTTGTTCGTCAAATTGAGCCATTTTAAAGTTTTAAACAATGTTCAAAAAGTGGATTTTCAGGATTAAACACTATTAAAGTGTTGGGTACACATGAAGTGTACTTTGTAATGGTTCATTTCACATATTAGCAAGTTGAGTTGTGAACATAGCGATATATATATGTGTGTGTATATATATATACACACATATACACACCGTATAAACAATGTTTAGTTGGGATTTTATCTGTTATTGACATTTATGGTCAGAGTAAGAACATGTCCTCGGTCAGAATGACCCATCCACTTTATTACGTTTCTGAGAAATAAATAAATAAATAAACAAAAGGAGGGTAAAGTTGATTTTTAGAATCATTTTGTTCCTTTGCGTGCAGATAGGGTTAGGATTGATAAATGCTCCTAACCTGCAAACATTTGTAAAAAACAAAAAACAAAAAAACATTTGTTTGATGTGGAAGATTAAAAATAAAACAAAATTTCTTAAAATAGTTGGACGTAGTCTATATCTCTTGTATTTTACATTTAGTGATCAAAGTGGCAGAACATGGGATCTTAAGCTTCCATTTGGCTCCCCTAAACCAGCTGCTAATCTGATTATACTTATCCAACATTAAATTCATCAAAACTGAAGAGGATACTTTTTTTGTTTCATCAATTCTCAGATTTACTATTCTTAAAGCCTTTCTTATTTGTGACGAAAATCAAATGAATCTGAATGTGGCCATGTCTCTCAAAACAAGGGTACTCTCAGATTGTCTCTACATACTGTTTGTCCGAACCCAGACAATTTGTTGCCACTGTCAGAGAAAGGTGATCGCCCTCAGAGGCGTCTTGGCATGTAACCGTAACTGCAGGTGGCACACGCCGTGTTGAATACTTAATGCCAACGAGGGGTGTCATTCATGCCCACAAGTTTCTACCCTCATCACCCCCTGACTTGTAAACATCCAGAGATCGTTTTCAAGCTTGGCCCGGTATCAAGAGCAGAGTACAGCAGGGCATTACTCTCTCATTTCGTCATGACCTTACCTCGGCCTGTTGTGACACAGGAGCCTATTCTGTTTTTTTTTTGTTTTTAATGAATGTATTTATTCATTTATGTGTGTATTTATTTATTTTGGGTGATACTAGGTAGAGATAATCTAATCAGTGGTGTTCAGGTCTTGTATGTGGGGGAAGGAGGGGTTTCATTGAATAAATAACACAGTGCCCAGTGTCCTTTTAATTTGCTGTGTGGCCCAAATGAGTTTGGTATTGGTAGATCAACACTTGTCAGAGTTGAGCAGCTGCTGCCTACCACCTCTTGGGATTCATATGACTAGGGAGCTCTGTGGGTACCAAGACTAGTTACAGTTTTCACAGGTCTCTCTGGCGTTTTGATATGTCAGAGGTGAACGGCCGAGGGTTGCTGCGATCAAAGAGCAAGGGGGGTCGGCGGGGGTGGACTGTGGGAAAGCAACAGGGTTAGAGAAGGGCTATATGAGGACTTTCTAAGGGGTGGGAAGGACTGCTGCTGGTGTGCTTGGTTCCAGCATCGAGAGGGGAAAACAACATCATGTGCTGCTGTTTACTCCTCAACTCGGCACTGTCATAGTCTCCTGACCTACTTGTCAGAGCCCAAAATAAAAGAATGGATCTGTCTCCGAAACGCTCGCACAACAAAGGCGTTTGTTCTGTCAGAGCTGGTTTAAAAAAAAAAAAAAAAAGATGGAATGACAACCCCCTGGAGGCAAGCCGTGACATTTTTTCAGATGCTCAGATGAATTGTACCCTTAAGACTGGGCTTCTTCCATGTCTGGAATTATAAAATTATATTTCTTTGGTGGAGCATGGAGGTGTGATGAAGAGCAGTCAGGCGGACCCCCAGGGAGTCTGAAAATTAAAGTTATGACACCTGAGGAGGGAAAGAAGGTGCCGGTTGGAGAGTGTCATTGAGAAAGGAAAAAAAAAATTTTTTTTCTTCTTATACCCAATAATTATATGGTAGATTTATTTTAATTATGCCACAGTTTTAGATAACAATACTATATGTATGTAGAATTTACCATTACTCCCCAAACTTTTCGTATACAGTATTAGTTAAATATGATCAATAA